TTGTGAGTGTTGATGGGAGCTGAGCTTGGGACCCCCCCATCTTATAATCGATGACCTCCAAGATGATCCCAAGAAGCCTTACAAGGTTACCAAGAGGGTTCCAAGAGGGCCCCCCAAACTGCCAGAGAGCACCAGCAGCAGCAACAGCCGCAAGAATACCTCTAGATGATTTCATGACTCCTCGTCCGCGTCGTCCTCATCCTAGTCCTCGTCCTCCTCGTCCTCTTCGTCCTCGTCCTCATCCGCGTCCTCGTCCTCGTCCTCGTCCTCCTATTCCTCCTCGTCCACAACCTCCTCCTGCTCCTCCTCCTCTTACCCTCGCCCCCACGCGGCCCCCAGGGATCGCCCGAAGCGGCCTTCCAAGACCACCCCCTTGCTCCCAGAGATCTCTCGGTTCACCCTGGTTGCTCGCTTTGTTTCCCTAGATGTGTCTCCGTCCCCTTTCCCGTCAGCTCTCATGGGCAGGGCTTCTGAATGGACTGGTGGGGATACTTTTTTGTCAGCGGCCGCGGGCGAGCGCGCCGGCGGCGAGTCAGAATCGCTGGTGGGGATACGCGAAGCGTGAGGGATTGCGTTGTATTGTGAGTGTTGATGTTGTGGACTGGCAATGCCGAACATACATGTAACTATGTGATTATTCGCATGCGCATATATCATGGTCGAGGGGCCGCGCGGAGTTACACTGCTACAACATTGATGTTTCGCTCCCGATTCTCTCTGATGCCATAGTCGAAATTATGTGTAATCCTCCCGAGTGGGACCAGCGCACTCGCAGGATAACTCAACCAACAGGATGCCGCGCGAAAGCCTCAGCACGCGTAGATTCGACGACTCCATCGCGTGGGGGTTGAGGAGGGGGAAGGACGAGGGAGAATCCGAGAAAAAGCCGCTGGCAGGCAATATGCCCTCGTGGGCGTTCTTGGGGCCCTCCAAGACGGGCCCAAAAGGGCCCCTGACAATAACACACCAAAGGTCCTTGATGTGGAATCGTTGGGGGCCGCGTTGCGGGCTTTCTTGGGGCCTTTTGCGGGCCCTCCTCTGGCCGTAAAGGTGGGCCTAGAGGGCACCGGACAGTTCCAGGAGAGCTCCTAGAGGAGCCCACGACCAAGAGGGGCCCCTGTTGGGGCTTCTTTGGGACCCCGTCTTGGTGCTCTGTTGGGCATTCTGGAGGCCCTACTCTGGCCCCGACGACGGCCTGTAAGGTCTCCACCTGCAAGGGAGCTCCAAGATGGGCCCAGCATTGCGCCCCAGAGGGGCCCGAAAGGGCCCCCAGCCACACAGTCAAGACGCTGAAGCAAGGACCACCTTGGGACCAGGAGGAGCGACGACGACCGGGCCGCTCCTCAGCTCAGGGTCGGTGAGCGGCCGAGGCCCGCCGTGGCGAAGAAAGCCCACTCGTCCCCTC